TTTCAGAATATTCACATTAGGCCCCAAAACAATCTTTTCTCACAATCAAGTCCTTAACTTACACTTAAATATTCCCGAAAATTTGGGATATTACAGTAACAGAGCTAGATCCAGCCCTAGACTTTCAAAACAATGGTAACACATGATGTCTGGTGCATTACCTGTGTCAACAAGGACACGCTATACCTCATAGTTGTTAATCATAACAAAAGTGACCAATGGATCATTATGAGGCAATATCACTCCATCGAAGTCAATAGGTGTAAAAGTGATGGGTTGATTCTTCCATTTTGTATCATCAAACTTTCATTTTTGAGCCCTGTTTTGGTGTTTTACCTCCCTGGCATATAGTTTCTGTTGTTTGCAGCTCAAACCTATTGCTTCTAAGCCATCTATGATCATGTGAATGATTCTAGCCCTTGGTGGGAGAAGGGGTGGAGCTTGTTGGTATCCTACCCCTTGTCTATTATTTACATTACGAGTTCTCTGTGACTGTAAACCCTATTCCTTGACAAAGGCAAGCTAATCTGTTCTTTGGACACACTCAGTTAACATCCCTTCTAAGCTAAGTTTTCTAATTCAGATTTTAGCTAAGTACACTCCTTCATGGTATGACCATAATCTTGATGGAAATCACAGTATCTAGTGTGGTCTTTGATGGCAGGAGAACTTCTCATTGGTGCTAGTCGTCTCACATCCATCTTATTCTTAATCTGCATGAATATCTGTAACCTCAGCAAATTGAAAGAAGTCCATGTAGCTGGTGCTTTGTTAAGAGTTTGTTGAAGAGGTGCCAAAGTTGGTCTTCTGAGACTCGATGTTGAGGTCAACATCTGACCTCGGTTCTATACTGTTTTCATCCATTTCTTGCTCTGACCCTTTTCTCTCCAAATCGACTTTTGATTCTTAACAGGAGCTGGTTTCTATGACAAAGCATATTCGTCAGTAGTTATAAATCTCAAAGATATGTTGTTAACTTCATTGAAAGTAGCATGAGTGTCACGCCCCAAAACCCGAATTCGAGGCACGACAGACGCCGTGCACTCGTAACGAGTCCCACGAATGCACCAGGCTCGGAACTTACTAAGTTCTTAGTTTCCAATTCGAATAATTCAATTCTGAAACTCAAGTAAAATCTAACTTTTCATTACCAAAATTTTACCATTCCAGACATACAAAATTTGTAAACAGTTATGGCTATAACCAAGGGAACTTTGTAAACAAAAATGGTTATTTCTATCAACCATGTGAGACTAGCAGCTTAACTCCAAAAGATCTAAGTCCCAAATAACGCCTAGCCGTCTAGCTCGTCACTCCCCCGGCTCCCTATGTGTCGGGTATCACTACCTGAAATGGTGGACAAGGAAAACGAGGTGAGATAAAATATCTCAGTAAGTAAACTATGGATAGCCCTTGGTAAAAATTTAAGCATGCCAGATAAACCATGTAAACGTAACAGAACTTTCAATGATAAACCATTCATGCATAATAAAACTCATCAGTAGTCTCATCTATAAGTCATGGCCAGTGTTTAACAAACTCCCACTGGTAGGCGTCAGGAATAGTGCCAGTGTTTAACACACTCCCACTGGCAAGCGTCAGGTAGTGCCAGTGTTTAACCCCGTTGGCAGGGTGAACCGGTTCTACAGAAATACATGTCGACATGTGCTAGCGTTTACAGCTCCCACTAGCGGGCGTCAGTAATCATGACCATATCCGAGACCAAAACCATGTAGAATTTACAATCCAAATCCCAAATTCACAAAATAACCAGAAATTTCATGTGGGCCTGCTCAACCCCAGAAAACAATGAAATTCCCATTTCAATCCTGCTCAGTTCCAGAAAGCAATAACTTTCATAAAAATCATCACAATTTTCACATGAACCTGGATTTAACAGAAACTTAGTATTTACAAAATTCCCAGTTCATCAAAACAGTTCAGCTAATTCAAAACAGGCATGCTCTGCTCAACACACATCAAAACAATTCCATTTCAAACCAATCATGCTCAGTGCAATAAATCAATTTAAAATCACTTTAAACCTCGCCACCATCTCAAAAACAATTAAAACATGCTTTAAAATCGAAGGGCGTTACCATAATTTACTTACCTCACTCACACCAACAGAACACTAATCCCAAGTGCTAGAGTGCAGAATAATCAGTACCTAATCAAAACATTTCCCAAAATTAATACCCATCTAAAACAACACATTTAATCCTTTCCCAATAGCTGGTACTTAACCCCCATAATACCACATCAAATTCTCCCATTTACTCACGGGCAACACATGGAGAGCATGGCTTGGCAAACCACAACTCACACACACGGGATCTTCTCCCTATAAACCACACAGCAACTAAATCAAGAAATTTCTACCTCAACCAAGCTTAAAACATGTTTTATGCTACCCAAAATCATCCCATAATTCTAGTACAATCTCGGACAACACAAGCAACTAAATGGACAATACTTAATTGATAATTAGACATAAAAAGGCTATCCATCATACCAGGAAACTCCGGCGAGCAGCACCGGGTCCCGGCTGGGAAGGAAGCCGACAGGGAGAGAATTGGAGGAACTCACAGCAAACCTCAAAATTCAAGAACCCACAACACAATCAGAGTAACCCAACTTGAATTAAGGCTAAAGGGATGATTCTTATTCGTTCCCTTACCAGAAAACCAGGAAGCACTCCACCAGTAAGAGCTACTCGCGGAAAGGACAGAGCACTTCCGAAAATCTGCAGAAGGGAGGGGATTTCTGGGTTCACTTCCAACCCTAGAACAAAAAGAAGGAGAATTCTTTGCGTTTTTGCCGGTGTTCCCGGTCAGAAAAAGGGGGGGCGATGGCTGGGGCTCGTCGGCTGCAGAGGGTCGGGGAAGAGGAAGAACAGGACACGCAACTGGATAAGGAAGAAAAAGAAGAAAGAAAAAGGAAATTGTTGCCGACCTTATCCAAATTTCCCTCTTTTAAGCCCCTTGACTTCAGAGCATTTTACTATTAAGTCCATTAATAAAAATCTCTCACAACTAAATCCCTAAAAATTTGGGGATATTACAAT